TCAAAAAAAAAAGAAAAAAACATTCCTCACTCTGATTGGACCAACTGTGTTCATGTTACTTGCTCCCAAGCGAATCACCTATTCATGTGAGAAATGCCGACCATGATTAAACCAATCAGAAACCACCCACAGAACTAGGGATGTGGTCAGTGCCACTCCAGTAACATGGCTGGGGCAAAATAAGACAAAACAGATAGTAGGGAGACAAAAAAAACCAATATCCATTCCACTAGACTTAACAAGAATACAGGACACAGTTTACTTACTGACCCACAGATAGCGTTCATCATTCTAAGAGCTCCTAGCATTCCCTCCCTTGTCTGACATTCTTAATACTCAGATAAGCACTTCCCAAAGTGATGACATAAATGCACATCCCATCACAAGAGGAAAACAAAAAACATTATTCTATAATTTGATGACTAGCAATTCTTTTTTTTTTTTTTTTTTTGAGACGGAGTCTTGCCAGAGTGCAGTGGTGCCATCTCTTGGATCACTGCAACCTCCACGTCCTGGGTTCAAGCAATTCTCCTGCCTCAGCCTCCCAAGTAGCTGGAATCACAGGTGCCCGTCACCACGCCCAGCTAATTTTTGCATTTTTAGTAAAGACGAGGTTTCATCATGTTGGCCAGGCTGGTCTCGAACTCCTGATCTCAGGTGATCCACCTGCCTTGGCCTCCTAAAGTGTTGGAATTACAAGTGTGAGCCACCGCACTCAGCCTATGACTAATGATTCTGGTAATCACAGAAAACATTTTCACAGAAGGAAGAGGATTGGGAATGTGCCTGTTACTTTCAACCTAAACCCAAAGCTAGTTGTTTTTTTTGTTGTTGTTTTTTGGGACGGAGTTTTACTCTTGTCGCCCAGGCTGGAGTGCAATGGCAGAATCCCAGCTCACTGCAACCTCCGACTCCTCCTAGGTTTAAGCAATTTTCCTGCCTCAGCCTCCCCAGTAGCTGGGATTACAGGCCACGTTCAACTAATTTTTGTATTTTTAATAGAGACAGGGTTTCATCATATTGGTCAGGCTGGTCTTGAACTCCTGACCTCAGGTGATCCACCCGCCTCAGCCTCCCAAAGTTCTGGGATTATGGACATGAGCCACCCCACCCAACTTAGCTTGTTTATTGATAGTGATTAGAAGACTGTTTTGAGACTCCATCTCAAAAAAAAAAAAAAAAAAAAAAAGGAGGTGAGACCAGCCTGGGAGACATGGTGAAACCTGTCTCTACTAAAAATAGAAAAATTAGTATGCGCCTGTAAGCAAAACACTCCAGCCTGGGTGACAGAGGGAGGCTCTGTTTCACCAAAAAAAAAAAAAAAAAAAAGGTATTTACTATAAATATATTGACTGACCAGGTACAGTGGCTCACGCCTGTAATCCCAGCACTTTGGGAGGCCCAGGTGAGTGGATCACGAGGTCAGGAGTTCAAGACCAGCCTGACCAATATGGTGAAACCCTGTCTCTACTAAAAATACAAAAATTAGCCGAGCATGGGGACATGCTGCTGTAGTCCCAGCTACTCAGGAAGTTAAGGCAGGAGAATTGCTTGAACCCGGGAGGCCGAGGTTGCAGTGAGCTGAGATCACACCACTGCACTCCAGCCTGGGCAACAGAGCAAAACTCTGTCTCAAAAAAAAAAATACACACACACTCACACACACACACACACACACACACACACACACACATATGTAAACTGAATTTCACTGTCTGAGGCTCCAAATGAAAAGGCTAGGCCAGGCACAGCAGCACATGCCTGTAATCCCAGCAGTTTGTGAGGCTGTGGCAGGCAAATCACTCGAGGTCAGGAGTTCGAGATCTGCCTGGCCAACAACACAAAACCCCCCATCTACTAAAAATGCAAAAATTAGCTGGATATGGTAGCATATGTCTGTAATCCCAGCTACTTGGGAGGCTGAGGCAGGAGAATCACTTGAATTCACAAAGTGGAGGTTGCAGTGAGCTGAGATTGTGCCACTGTCTCAAAAAGAAACAAAAAAAAAAAGAAAAAGAAAGGGCTATAAAATAATAGTTGTCGGCCGGGCGCGGTGGCTCAAGCCTGTAATCCCAGCAGTTTGGGAGGCCGAGGCGGGTGGATCACGAGGTCAAGAGATCAAGACCATCCTGGTCAACATGGTGAAACCCCGTCTCTACTAAAAATACAAAAAATTAGCTGGGCATGGTGGTGCGTGCCTGTAATCCCAGCTACTCAAGAGGCTGAGGCAGGGGAATTGCCTGAACCCAGGAGGCGGAGGTTGCGGTGAGCCGAGATCGCGCCATTGCACTCCAGCCTGGGTAACATGAGTGAAACTCCGTCTCAAAAAAAAAAATAATAAAAAAAATAATAGTTGTCAGCAAGCAGCCTCTGGGGAATGTTTTGGAGTAATTGGCTTGTTCTGAAACTGGGTTGTGGGAATGGCTGTGCACCTGTATACACTTACTAGAAATTATCAAACAGCCCAACGTGGTGGCTCACGCCTGTACTTCTAATACTTTGGGAGGCCAAGGTCAGGAGTTCAAGACCAGGCTGGCCAACATGGTGAAACCCCATCTCTACTAAAAATACAAAAATTAGCCAGGTATGGTGGTGCTCCCCTGTAATCCCAGCTACTCGCAGGCTAAAGCAGGAGAATAGCTTGAATGCGGAGGTTGCAGTGAGCGGAGATCGCACCATTGCACTCCAGCGTGGATGACAGAGTGAGACGGTTTGAAAAAAAAAAAAATTATTACGGGCCGGGCACGGTGGCTCACACCTGTAATCCCAGTACTTTGGGAGGCCGAGGTGGGTGGATCACGAGGTCAAGAGATCGAGACCATCCTGGTCAACATGGTGAAACCCCGTCTCTACCAAAAATACAAAAAATCAGCTGGGCATGGTGGCGCGTGCCTGTAATCCCAGCTACTCAGGAGGCTGAGGCAGGAGAATTGCCTGAACCCAGGAGGCGGAGGTTGCGGTGAGCCGAGATCGCGCCATTGCACTCCAGCCTGGGTAACGTGAGTGAAACTCTGTCTCAAAAAAAAAAAAAAAAAAAAAAAAAAAGAGCATCCAGTGTATGTGGATCATGGAAGTGCCTGCTTTGAAGATATTTCTTTGCCTAGGATGAAGCTTTCCAGCTGGTGGCGCTCAAGGGCCAACATCTGGTAGTAATTTCATGAAAAGGTTTTTTTTTTTTTTTGAGATGGAGATTCGCTGTTGTTGCCCAGGCTAGAGTACAATGGTGCACTCTTGGCTCACTGGTCTCCGCCTTCCGGGTTCAAGTGATTCTCCTGCCTCAGCCTCCCAAGTAGCTGGGATTACAGGCATGTGCCACTTCACCCGGCTAATTTTTTTGCATTTTTAGTAGAGACGGGGTTTCACCATGTTGGCCAGGCTGGTCTCGGACTCCTGACCTCAGGTGATCCACCCACCTTAGCCTCCCAAAGTGCTGGGATTATAGTCATGAGCCACCATGCCTGGCCCAGGGGAATTTTTTTTTTGAGATGGAGTCTCGCTCTATTGCCCAGCCTGGAGTGCAGTGGTCCGCCTCCTGGGTTCAAGTGATCCTCCTGCCTCACTGACCCCCAGTAGCTGGGATTATAGGCATGCGCCACCACACACGTGCCTATACAAGCACAAAGATTATGTCTCTTCTGTGACCCCAAATATTCCAATGGCTTCTCAGTCCCCTCAACATAAAAGAAATCCTGGGCAGGTGTGGTGGCTCCCACCTGTAATCTCAACACTTTGGGAGGCTGAGGCAGGTGGATCACTGGGGGTCAGGAGTTGGAGATCAGCCTGGCCAACATGGTGAAACTGTCTCTACTAAAAATACAGAAAAGTTAGCCGGTGCTGTGGTGCGCACCTGTAATCCTAATTACTTGGGAGGTTGAGGCAGGAGAATTGCTTGAGCCCAGGAGACGGAGGTTGCCATGAGCCGAGATCTCACCATTGCACTCTAGCCTGGAGACAGGAGACTGTCTCAAAAAAAAAAAAAAAATTACTTTTTATTATGAGGAAATTTCCTTTTGGTAATGACAAAGAGTCTTTGCTTGGTCAAACTTTAGTTTGGCTCCTGAAACTTCTCCAAGGCTTACCTGTGCACTTCCTTATAAAATCCAGTTTTAGCAAATAATTCTGCTGAAGTCATTTGGCAAGAACCCCACAACCCTCAATGTGTGATCACCTTCAATATTTGACCACCTTCAATGTCTGATTACCGTCCATATCTGATGGCTTCTGCATCCTCCACCAGGATGATGTCTGATCACCATGGTCTGTCCTCAGCAAGGATCCTGTTATGTGGGTTTAGCTAGAATCCTCCGTACCCCAGAAGTTTCCCCTTAGTGATTTTCTTTCTTTCTTTTTTTTTTTTTGATACACGGCCTCACTCTGTTGCCCAGGCTGAAGTGCAAGTGGTATGATCTCTGCTCCCTGCAACCTTTACCTCCAGGGTTCAAGTGATTCTCATGCCTCAGACTCTCGAGTAGCTAGGATGCACTTCTTTCTTTACTTTTGAGACACGCTGTCATCCAGGCTGCAGTGCAGTGGCGAGATCTCAGTTCACTGTAAGCTCTGTGCCCCAGGCTCAAGTGATCCTCCCACTTCAGCCCCCTGAGTAGCTGAGACACCATGGGCACGTGCTGCCATGCCCAGCTAATTTTTTTTTTTTTTTTGAGACAGAGTCTCTCTCTGTCACCAGGTACCAGGCTGGAGTGCAGTGGTGCAATCTCGGCTCACTGCAACCTCTGCCTCCCGGGCTCAAGCAATTCTCCTGCCTCAGCCTCCCGGGTAGCTGGGACTTCAGGCACATGCCACCATGCCCAGCTAATTTTTTGTATTTTTAGTAGAGATGGGGTTTCACCATGTTGTCCAGAATGGTCTCGATCTCTTGACCTCGTGATCCGCCCGCCTCGGCCTCCCAAAGTGCTGGGATTACAGGCTTGAGCCACCGCGCCCGGCTTCAAAGATTTGTTTAAATGCTGGAATTTGCCAAATTTAAAAGGAAAAACTTCAGAGTCATTTGTACAGGTTTATTGAAGCTGAGCAGTTTCCCCATAGTCTAGGTGACTTCAGGTTACAGACTGTGTGACTCTCTCCAGCTGTGAGTCCCCATCATCAAACGGGATAGATGACCGTCGGTTCGGTCTGCAATATAATTTGGCATAAAGTTGCAGCCACAAGTGGGTTCTGCTGCTGGGTATGGATCAGGCTCTCTGGAATGTCTGTTTGCACACTTGACCTTCACAGAACATTTCCTAGGGTATCAGGAGAAAGGGAAGAAAATGAGTTTGTATGTGGTCTGTTTTCACTCTCAACACTTTATTTTTTATTTTATTTTATTTTAACCCCTAACCCTTTTTCTGGAACACCCTTTTTTTCTTTTATTCTTTTTTTTTTTTTTGAGATGGGGTCTCACTCTGTTGTCCTGGTTGGAGTATGGTGGCAAGATCTCGGTTCACCGTAACCTCTGCCTCCCAGACTCAGGCAATCCTCCCCCCTCAGTCTCCCAAGTAGCCGGGACACTACAGGCACGTGCCACCGTGCCTGGCTAATTTCTGTATTTATTGTAGAGAGAGGGTTTTGCTGCTGCCTCGGCGGCTCTTGAACTCCTAGCCCCAAATGATTTTCCTGTCCCCTCCCAAAGTGCTAGGGTTACATGTATAAGCCACGGCCCCCGGCCTACTCTCAACACTTCTGACACCCAATGTGTGGGTTTTTAAACTCCTGACACCAATTGTGTGGTGTCTTTTCCAACCCCACTTCTCCAACTCTCTGACACCGAGTGTCCAGTAAGGTTTAATTCTGGCACTAGCTACCTAGAGTTAGCACAGAGCGCAGAGGTTAAGGACGTAGTCTCAGAAGACTGCCCCCAACTTCAGATACTGTTGCAAGTTCTGGACCTCCTATATTTCTCACTGACCAGCTACAAATCCGATTTTCCCACAACCCCTCCTTGGGCTTGATATTTTGCTAGAAGGGCTCACAGAACTCAGAAAGTCCCTTTACTTAGTATTACCAGTTCATTACAAAATAAATAACTCAGAAACAGCCTGATGTGGCTAGGCGTGCTGGCTCACGCCTGTAATCCCAGCACTTTTGGAGGCCAAGGTGGGCAGATCACCTGAAGTCAGGAGTTTGAGACCAGCTTGACCAACATGGTGAAACCCCATATCTACTAAAAGTACAAAAATTAGCTGGGCATGCTGGTGGGTGCCTGTAATCCCACCTACTCTGGAGACTTGAGGCAGGAGAATCACTTGAACCCAGGAGGCAGAGGTTGCAGTAAGCCAGGATCATGCCACTGCACTCCAGCCTGGGCAGCAGAGCAAGACTCCATCTCCATAAAAAAAGAAACAGCCTGAGGGCCGGGCGCGGTGGCTCAAGCCTGTAATCCCAGCACTTTGGGAGGCCGAGGCGGGTGGATCACGAGGTCAAGAGATCGAGACCATCCTGGTCAACATGGTGAAACCCCGTCTCTACCAAAAATACAAAAAAAATTAGCTGGGCATGGTGGCGCGTGCCTGTAATCCCAGCTACTCAGGAGGCTGAGGCAGGAGAATTGCCTGAACCCAGGAGGCGGAGGTTGCGGTGAGCCGAGATCGGGCCATTGCACTCCAGCCTGGGTAACAAGAGCGAA